TTTGCGTGTGACTTTCGTAAATCATTTCCGATTTATATGTTCGTTTCCCGTGATTTATAATTTACTATTTTACACTATAACTACCCCGAAAAGTGTGTCGTGATTCATTTTTCTCTCGTCATTTTCGGGGTAGTTATAGTCCAACTAATATATGGTATGGTTATAGTCCGAACTAAGTGGGATACTTGTAGTCTATACAGACTACAAGTATCCCACTACTTATCTAAAATTTTTTGGTTTTGTTTATGACTTTTAGTCTGCAAGCATTCTCATTGGAGCATATGAACCCACTACAGAATGCCGAAACATTGGAAGCAAGTCATTTGAATGATTATATTCATCCCTGCTTTAAATCAGCCCTTTGGGAATGTGCCAAAATTTACTATACATTGTGAGTTGTATTTTGCCTTTTTACTTATGTGTTTTGATGAATCCATAAAGCTAATTTTTTCTTTTCAATTAATAGTGGTGAAATTCCTTCTGTACATCATGTTGAGAAACAAAGAGGAGATGGGGTGGGGCTGACAGTCGATGCATACAAATATGAAATTGTCTATGTTGAGGGAAGTCACCCAGTCAAAGTAAAAAGCAACAAAGAAATAGATGATCGAGTAAAAATCACTCTTAATAATTGCGCAATTTTTGCATAATATTACACTATTTATGTAAGTTTATGGCGGGCCCCATAATATTACGTAAATTTACATCAGAAAAAATTTCCTGATGTATGCACTGGACTATATTGGTAAGTAAAGTTTAATTTGATTATGCAATATGAAACATCATCTAACTAATTTGATTAATAATGATGAATAGGATGTTACTGTTTGACTGAAGTATATTGTGCAGTTGTACCCAGGCAGTTGTCTGAAATCAAAGAGTTTACTTTTTTCTACGAAGCCATTGTAAAATGGGCAGTAAGTGTACCATTAGAGTTTTATTTACATATCATAACTAAAATTTGACTGATTTATTACATTTTCTGTGCATAGCTTTTGGCAGGAAGATGTCAAAAAACTCTTTCAGATACCAACACTAAAAAACGGTCATCACGTCTTTCTTATGCAATGAACCTAAGAGCACTTGATAATTTTATCTAAGATTAAAAAATTCACTTAAAAAATTTCATTAACAAAATATAAAAATAAAAAATTGATATTAACTTTTGGGCGATATTACAAATTGGGCGTTACAAATATGTAAAATTATGTATTATTCATATTCAATTATGAAAATCAGCTTCATACAAAAATTGCGATAGAATCACTCATCAATACTAAATTTTGATCCCTGAAATTTTTGGTAACACCAATGTTCACTTTGTCTGGTTTTGTTGCAGCATGCCCCATCTATAAGTTTGAAAAGTGCTTTATAAACAATCTTTGTATCAAATAAAGTAAAAATACAAACAACACATTGTTGATTATTTTAAATCAAGGAATGCATGAACAATTTGGAAATAGATCTCAAAGATAAGTTAAAGAGAAAAAACCCATTTCTACTTTTGCCATCCAGAAAAACAAATTAAATATTAATATTCATAGAGAAATATTTTTTTTCTATTAAAATTATCAAATAAACTTTACTTTTAGATGTAAAACCAAGCATAGGTCATTGTTTAAACTTCTACCATCCAGCAATATATTACTAACAAATGAATTTATTCTTTAATATTAATATTACAACTTTATAAAAGATTATAAAGGTAAGTGTAGAGCAATGTTCATTTTCTATTATTAAAAAATTTGATCCAATTAATTTGAAAATTCATGAAGTTTATTTGAGACAATAACTTTTTTTATATATTAATTTACAAAACTATTTGTTTATATATTGCAATTTAAGAAAGACTTGACATGTAGATGTAAAATATGGCATTTTATCAGTTAAAAAATTGACATCTTCATTTATTATACTTCATTTAATAAAATATGCTGTCAAAATCAAAAGGACATATGACTCAATTGGAGCTGGGCATGACGCATTGACGCAATACGTAATTCGTGATGCATGACGCAATTCGTGACGCAGGACGTAATTCGTGACGCAAATACACAATTAATGATGCAAGATGCAATTAGTGACTCAATTTATTAAGGACTTATGCGCGCATACAAGAAAATTTGGTTGTCTACATGTTAATTACATGTAACACTGACATGGTGTAAACTATTATGGTCCATCAAAGAATCTGTCCACTAAATTCGTTATATCAAAATTACTACACATTGTCTAACTAATTTAGAAGAAATTGAAGACAATGTTTTATTATGATGAATCAGATGATGTGTCTCCTCAATATTTGTAGGTGAAGAATTAAGACATGCGTTACAATTGGGAGTATATGTAAATATTTCTGGTTAAATATTTGCTGCCGGTTTTTTAAATTTATAAGAATCATATTTCCAGAATCCAGCAACAAACCACTGTTCCACAGGTAGAGTAAAATATTATGTGAACTTATATATGAAAATATATTGAATCTTTGTGAATCAAAAACACTCTCATGGAAATATATGATAGTGCATCCATATAATTACTCCATGATCAATACATGAATGATAATTTATTGGATTTAAAGGACTAACGTTATTAAAAAAGTAACTATAATTAATGCACAAGACAATTTTTTTTTTGATTTGAAATTGGCCAATCAAACAAATATGGGTGTTTGGGCGCGAAATTCCTTTTAATTAACCATTTTTTTTTAACTTTTGAGTATAGATGATCCGCACTGTATCAATAATAATAAAAATGAAAATCTTTTTTTTTACATTTCCGTTTTTTTTGATCTACAACACCCAATAAAAAGTTCGATTTGTCTGGTTTTATTGCAGCGTGCCCCATATACATAGTGAGTAAATATTAATTTATTTAATTAATTGATACTACCAAAATTTCATTACAAAAAAAAAAAAATTTTAAAATTTTATAATTTCAAAAAATAAACGATATAATCAGAATAAGAGTTATTTTTTTTCTTTATAATTAATTGTATATACCGGTTGTGTTATGACCTTTTAAACTATTATTTTCTGCTTCCAATTTATTTATAGTTTTCTTTAGACCATCAATTTCTTGATGACTTCTTTTAATCTCCTCATCTCGTATCTTAATTTCACTTTCATATCTTTCCTTGCTTTTCTCAAAATATTCTTTCCATAATTCAACTGTTTTAAAGCTGGTAAACAATTGCTTCTCTTGATTCTTTAAGTGTTCACGAAGTATTTCTTTGGCGTCATTTAGATTTATTTGTGAGATTAGATGGTCAGATGATGTTAAGTCAGAGGTGGTGGTAGTAGTAGAAGATGAAGATGATGACGATGACAATATAGATGACGATGAAGGTGATGACAAAGACGATGATGAAGGTGATGATAGGGGTGATGATGTGGATGTTATTTTATTTATGTCAAGATCAATACCATTGCTAGTATAAGTACCATTAATACCATTGGTATAAGTGTCGTTGATGCTATTATTATTATTGTTGTTGTTATTATTATTATTATTATTATTATTATTATTATTATTGTTATTATTATTATTATTACTATTATTACTATTATTATTATTATTATTATTAGATGTTGTAGATGCTAAAGAATTATTTGTTAGAATTTTTGTAGCAGGTAAACCTGCTGTTGCCGTTGTTGTTGGTGATGACAATGATAATAAAGCCATTTCGGGTTTGATGTTATTGTTGTTATTATTATTATTACCACTACTACTGTTATTATTATTACTATCATTAGAAGAGGAATTCAACTGATTTGTTACTGTGTTGAGATTAGTCGTTATTGATGACGATGACGATGTTGTTGATGCTATTGACGAACAAATGCCGTTCGGTTTCACTAAAGGCGAATGATGATTAATTCCGTTAGTTTTTATTGTACCATTAGGCATTGATGATATTATATTTGTGTTATTGTTGTTATAATTTCTGATTTTATGATTATTAGTTGTTTTTTGTGGAAGTAATTTACCGGTTGAACTAATAAAATCTATCGTTTCTTCTTCACCAGGCAACAAAACTTTTGGTTTATTATTATGAATATTATCAATCGAATATATTTGAATTGGATTTTCAGCTGATTTAAAAATTATAATAGCTTCACTGCTATATTTTCCTTTGATACTAGATTGCTGAAACTCATCACTTTGATTAATTAAGTCAAGCAATCTATTATCTGGATTATCATAATCACCTTTCCAGTTTAAGACAGCACTCAATCTCGAGTATGTAGCTTGACCATTTCCATATATTATCATTTTATTAATAAATGATTTTAGATCAGGAATAGATTTATCTGGTTTGTGTACTACGACAATGTCAACCGGACTTCGATAGAAATCAAATTCAGTATAAGGTTCCAAAAAATTAATCAGTCTACCATTATTGGGCAGCAAATTTTTCTTGCTAAGGTTATTCAAAATGTGTTTAAGCTCAAGTTCTTTTTTGTCATTACCAAACATTTCACGAATTGTTCTGATAATTTCTGCATCATGTGACTTGACAAACACAACTGAAGCTTCAAACTCAAATTTGAAGTCAGAATATATGGATAGAAGTTCCTTTAGTCTCATTTTTGGTGAAAAGTCTAAGCGCTTCAAATAGTCACCAACCAATGAAAATTGAACTCTTCCATACTCAACGAGAAATCTACGTGCATGACATAATATATTTTTTTCGGTAGGGTTGAGAGTTATGTAGGTCTCACCAGAAATTAGAGCCACATTGAACTCCTTTCTATTCTCGGACAAGAATCCCCTTAGATTAGTTTTTGGTAATTGTGGATATTTCTTTAAATATTCATCAAGTTCCGAGTAAGTGGCTATATATTCTTTCACAAGAAAATCGCGTATTAATTTGAAGAAAAAATTAATGGTTGATCTGTATGGACTATGATAAATTGTTGGATTGATTGGTTGTGTTGATATCTTTGGTTTATTTTTTACGAAGAAACCATCCTTCTCATACCATTCAAACGAGTCAGGGCAATTTTTGATAAATTCTTTAAGATCGTGAGTGATTGAGCCTTTGATGTCTCTAAGGTATATTACCAGTTCAGCACTCATTATGGCACTAGTTGATGAGTTTTGTTGAATGTATTCTTTAATGTCATTTTCAGTTTGCTCCATCCTAAGATCAATCATTGTCTTGGTATTTTCATCAATAATCTTTGTGGAATTTTTGAGTTGAACACAATTGATACCTCGGTTCTTGTAAACGTGGAAAACATCTTCATTTTCAAGTAGAAAGTTGTCGAAATTTTTTCCAACTAGAACACCAATGCTATTTAGATATTTCTCTAATTCAAAAGTAGAATCGGCCAAATGGTTCTTCAAATAATTTATTGCAGATGTTACTGATATAGCATCTTTTTTGTTTAATTTTAGTTGGCCTTGCTGTTTTTGAAATTCTTTTATTAATTGATCTTTATTAATTTGAATTGATTTTTCTCTACCATCGTCATCGTCATCGTCATCGTCATCATCATCATCATCATCATCATCATCATCATCATCATCATCATCATCATCATCATCATCAACATCATCATCATCAACATCATCATCATCAACAAGATTTATTAAATCATTATTACTGCCATTACCGTTCTTCAACTTAACTATAACGCCATTATTATTAGTTGTGGTAGTTGTGGTAATGAAAGGATTGGTGGTGATATTGTTCTTCAACTTAACTATAACGCCATTATTAACAGTTTTACTCAACTCGAATTCATTTGTAGAATTCTGTAGAATTTTATTAAGATTACGAGCGGTAACCTTAATATTTTTAGTTTCTAGCAACTTTACCAATTCTTCTAAATCAACTTGCCAACTCGAGTCAGAATTAAAATAATGTTTGACATTGTCCACTATAGTGGACGTTTTGTGAACACTTATTGACATCTTTGAAAGGTGGATGAGAATAATATAATTTTACAAATTATATATATATTTTTTAAGTAATTTATAATTTTTTATCAATTGTTAATTATTGTGTTTTATTTTTTATAATGGTTTGTTCGTAAAGAAGGAAAAGTTTCGATTGAAAAAAAATTTTTTCTGTATTTTTTTAGAATATATT